AAATCAGATAGGAACCCTGTCATCCTGTGCCGTCTTCAATCGCCAACATTCTTGAGCCCGTTGTTACAGTCAGTACATCAATTCATCTTGTTGAAGGTCTATTTTTCTCTGAGCCTCTACTTTCCCCACCATGATGTCTTTTTCCAAGGACTGGTCCCTTCTGACAACATGTGAGATGGAGTTTTACCATCTTTGCCTCTAAGGAGCATCCTGGCGGGACTTGGTTTTTTTGTCAATCCATGGGAAGTTTCTCCAATATCACAAGTTGAAGATATCAAGTCTTCTTCTGTCATCCTTTTCATGGTTCAACTTTCTGATGCATAGGAATTAAATGAAAACACGATGGTTAGGATGAGGTTTACCTTAGTCTTTAAGAGATATTCTTGTTTTTTAGCCTTTTGGAGAGATCCTTGCATTCCCAATGCAACACGCTTTTTAATGTCTTGACTGCTGTTACCACGGGTGTTGATTGTGGAGCTTAGCAAAATGAAACCCTGGATTTTGGTTTTAAAAATCTTAGCATTCAAACTTTAGGACTGCAACTAAGGGGTGGAGAAATACACAAGAAGTCTGACTTCATTGTGAATAACTAAGTGGGGGGGGAGAATCCAAACCCCAAACTATAGCCAGTTACCGAGTCATTCACTCAACAACAAAAGACACTAACAGGTGCTCATAATGAAAGTGAGGGGACTATCATATTTTTCAATCACTGCTGGTTCAGTAAAGCAGGGCAGGTCTTTGTTTACAGCTAAAAAGAGGAGGTGGCACTTAAGGATAGGATCTGGTTACTAACAGCCACATGGCCCTAAAGTTTCCAGTATTGGTTCGAGACATTTACACATACTAACACTGAAGAATACCAGAAGAATGTCTATCTGTGTTTCATTGACTATGCAAAGGCATTTGACTGTGTAGATCATAACAAACTATGGCTGACTCTGAGAAGAATGGGAATCCCAGAACACTTGATCGTTCTAATGCGAAACCTATACTTGGACCAGGAGGCAGTTGTGAGAACAGAGCAAGGGAACACTGCATGGTTCAAAATTGGGAAGGGCGTACGCCAGGGATGCATCCTATCTCCATACCTTTTCAACCTATATGCAGAACAGATTATCTGGGAGGCTCGGCTCTATGAGGAGAAATGTGGGGTCAAGATTGGTGGACGATTTATCAACAACCTGCATTATGCAGATGACACAACCCTGCTTGCTGAAACTGAGGAGGACCTGAAGCACCTGCTGCAGAGTGTCAAGGACTGCTTGAGGCTCAATGTCAAGAAGACAAAGATTCTCACCACTGGACCAATTGGCAGCATCAGGATGGATGGTAAAGAGATTGAGATTGTACACAGCTTTAGTTTGCTTGGCTCCATAGTCAACAGTCTTGGCACCAGCAGCCAGGAAATTAAAAGGCACATTGCCATGGGAAAGTCTGCTGTTAGGGACCTCTCCAAAGTACTGAAGAGCAACGGTGTCTCTCTGGAGACTAAGGTGCGTCTGATACAGGCCATGGTCTTCGCAATCACTTGTTATGCATCAGAGAGTTGGACAATGACCAGGGAGGATAGAAGGAGAATTGATGCCTTTGAGCTGTGGTGCTGGAGAAGAGTATTGAGAATACCATGGACTGCTAGGAAAACAAACAGATTTGTCCTGGAAAGGGTTAAACCGGGTGGCTCCTTGAAGGCAAAGATTCTGAGGCTCCGTCTAACATACTTTGGACATGTTGTGAGGAGAGACCGGTCCTTGGAGAGGGACATCATGCTTGGGAGGGTGGAGGGACAGCGCAGGAGGGAAGGCCCTCTATGAGGTGGATTGATTCAGTGACTGGGATAATTGGGATGGGAGTGTCAGAGACAGTGCGATTGGCACAGGACAGAGCAGAGTTTAGGGCTGTTGGACATAGGGTTGCTGTGAGTCGCAAGCGACTCGGCGGCACATAACAACAGCAACAACAACACTGAAGAAGTTCTAGTATTATCCATCTGTCAGTATCAATATGCATAGTTCGATTCATGGAATCCTTTCTTATTAAATCAAAGTTTCCATTATTATCATGATTGACTGACAACACATCTGGTTAGTACACGCCATCTGGAGCCTTCCATGAAGATTCTGGATTGTGCTGTAGTTTGGTATGACTTTCTTAGAGAGAAGGCATTTCTGGGCTGGAATTAGCAATTCCGAGCAGCACACTGGGTTCTTTCCCAGGAAAAGGCCAGTGTGAGTTGATTTAGCAAAATGACTCATCCAGAATTCTCATCTTCTAAAGTGGAACAAGAGGCAGATATGGGCAGAGGGTATGTGACAAAGGTTTGGAGGATGGACGCACCTGCAGCAGGGCTCTATAGGACGGGATGTCACTGGGGCTTTGAGACATTGGGGCACTTGGACAAGATAGAGGTTTAGACCAAGAGTAACAGCATCTCAGTGGTCAGCTAAGAGCAAACCAGAAATATCTTCTTTGATTTGCCTTCTTCTCCCCACTTAAATAGCTAAAAGGAAGCTAAAAGTAAGAGTATTACTAAGTAAAGCTGACAGATAATTTTAACAAGACAGTTACATGCAAATGTTATCCTCCTTTCTCCCTGAAAAAATGACCCCTAAAATTTTAACTCTTTCCCTCTCTCATCGCCATCATGTTGGAACTGGCTCACAGCTGACCTTTCAGTGGATTTTCAGAGGCTATAAATCTCACAGGAGGAGTCTGCCTATCTTCCTCCTGCAGAGCAGCTGGTGGATTCAAATCACCTGCCTTTGTGCCTTTGTGTTGTCTGGGAAACTCCTTATCTGCTCGTCACTAGGGCCTGTGATGATGGATGTCAAAATGGCAGACTTGCAGGGCAGCTGGTATTTTCCATCATTTTGCCCTCTTAGCAGCATCTGAACTTCCTTCTGTGTTATGGGGCTCCCCGTTTTGTGAAGTATGGCTCTCTTTCCATCATGGAAGTAGAAAATAGAGTTTCTGATTTTTATGCTCCCAGACATTTTTCTGCTTGGACATGGGCACATGACCTGGGCTGCCTGTCCCTGTCCCAGAGTTGGAAGTGGAAACTCATGACTCAGAAAAGCATGACCACACAGAAGTTATTCCAGAATAAGACCCACTGTCCAGCAAGCACTTCTAATGGCTTTCCTTTACACGCCCCTACTACAGAGCCTGACTGCATCAAAGACATGTCTTTTCAAGTCCCTTCTGGCCAGGAAGAAGTCAACTTGGACTTCTGGGAAAATCCTTATCTTCTGGATGCTGGAGATACCACCTGCCCTCATTCACATCTTCCTTGAATACAAATGTTCTGACTGAAATGGCTGCAGCCACTTTGGAGAGATGAAGAGGCAGCTTTGAGAAGTAAAGTCAAAGAATGTTCCAGAGACCTGGAACATTCCTTGTCATTCTAGACAGCGGAAGAACTGCTTCCCCTCCCCCACCCCCGCCCCCACTTGTCCAATGTCCTAGACCGACCTTCCTTTCTTCCTTCCTTCCTTCCTTCCT